CGCCTGTCGGACGACCCTCCTTCTTGTTTTCTCGCCACAAACTCCCTCAGTCGTCCCTCCTTGATCAGGCGTTCGATCTGTCTTCCTAAGACGAAGCAGTTTTCTGTGGAATGTCCGTGAGCCCTATGGAACTCACACCAATCGGTTTTCGAGGGCCCCAGCTGACGCTCCGTCGCCTCTGGAAACTCAAAAAACGATGCATTGTTGACATCGTGAAGTATTTGTCGCCTAGGAACAGTAAGTGGAGTGAACTTTTCTTCCTCATTGTTGCGCCTCCATTCGCCCCTTGCCCGACTACCCTGTTCGGTCTGCCTGTAATTACTTTCCTTCCTGCTGTATTGGTCATGTCGTTTACTCCAGTCTGAGCGCGGTCGAAGATGCTTGTTTCCCTCCTTATTGCTGCTCCCTGCTTCTCGGTTCTCGGCCGCCCTTTTAATGATCTGATTCTCCTCCGTTTTGATGTGGCTCAGAGCGAAAGCCCTCACCTCCGACATCGTTTGACAGTTCGCTCTTTCGAGCGCGATGTCGAAAGCTCCCGATCTCAAACCTTTCTGAAATGCAATGACCGCCATCTTCTCGTCCAACGATGCCACCCTCATCGCGGTCTCGTTGAACCTTCGCAGGAAATCCTTCAGTGACTCCTCGCGTTGCTGCCTTAGGTCGAACAAGTCCGACGTGATCGGTGGCTTCTTCTTGTTAGCGGCGAATTGCGCCATGAAGAGCCGACTAAACACGTCAAAGTCGGTGATTGACCTGTCCGGGAGTCCGCTGAACCAGTCCAGCGCTGCCTTCTTGAGCGTGCCCATGAATAACTTGCACCGCGCTTCCATGCTTCCTCCACAGATCAGCATTTGAGCTCGGAAGTCCATCAAATGCTGATCGGGGTCCTGGGTCCCGTCGAAGGGCTCCACTTGGGGTGTGCGAAGATCCCTGGGAATGATCTCGGCCTCTATGGCTTCCGAAAAAGGTCGAAAATCCCTAGGGACTTCCATCATGACATCCTCCTCTACCGTCCTGACACTAGCTTCCAACCTGGCCTCCATCCCATCCGCTCGTCTCCTGAGCTCCTCATTCTCACGTTGAATAGCCTCCTCTCTCTCCCTGGAGCGCGCGTTCTCTTCCCTTAAGCCGTTGATCATGGCCATCATCTCCTCCATTGTAGGAGGTTGTGCATTGTTGTGGTTGCCGCCTCTCACCATGGTAGTCCGTTGGTTCTTCTCTGTGATTCGGGGCGTAGGAGCAGTTTTACCGTAGCCCCACGGTGGGCGCCAAAATGTTCCGGTCACGGGGTGCGCTAGGGTTTTTCCTAGGTCTAGCCGCAAAGCCAGAGCATTCAAAAGTGTAATCTGCCCTCTCAACTCTAGGGTTTTGGGTTTTATGGCACGTCGTTCATGGGCCTTTTGGGCCCCGAGAATGAAGGGATTTTCCTAACCGCTCTTATCTTGATGGTGCGGGGTTGAAAGGAACAAGTGTAGTCGGGTTCTGACCGACTAGGTTCATACCGAGGACCCAGTCGGGTCAATGCCGAGTGGTCTCCTCAGTCCTTACAGGTGAGAGGATTCTAAACTGGACTCAAATTGCCTAGTCGGATTCCGACCGAAGGGACTCACCTCAAACGCTCTATCGAGTCATCACCGACCTCGAGGTGTTACAAGGTATGATCGGGTTGTAGGTCATCTCGGATATCACCCGAGACAGTACAGAAATTAACATCATATAATAAATTATTATTATTATTATTATATTAAAATCATATTTTTAAGTTAATAAAAATTGCTAGACTTAAATATATGAGAAAAGTTCAATTCAAAAAATTAATCTATTAAACCTCATATTTTATTCCATGCGAAACTTCTAACAAGAATATTCAATAATCAATAATTAATTAGAGTGTTTTTTTTCCCTCTATTTCCTACGTGTATTCTATATGAAGGGAGTGAAATCACCAATCCTAACAAATATTAAAAATAACCATAAGCCAATATGTACTCAATATGATATTTATGTGTGCGTGTCTTCATATAACAGTAGATTTAATTCAATTATAGTATATTCGTGTAATTATGGCAGCAGCAAATATCATGTTGGCTGAAGGAAAATAAAATGGGAGTATAAGTATTAATCGAAGCAATTATGATTTCTTCAATTCGGAGTGGCATCATGTTGGCCTCTCAACATACATAACTGCTGGCCACTGGAAGATTTTCTTTTAATATGAGCGATTATGACAAGCACAAACGAATAAATCTCAAGGGATTTGAGAAAAAAAGCAGGAGTTGAATATTTTATTATTATAACCCCTTTTCCACTAAAATAGTTTTCTTAGCCACATGCGAGCTCTAAAGGTTTCACTTAAGAATAGGGTATTGTTGAGACAAAAATCTTCATTCTGAAAATTCTATGATAGTGATTGACAGTAATAGAATCAAGAAAGGCAACAAATACGAGATGTGATTAGTTCTTGCCAACTTGTTAATAGTAATCATGCTAGTATGGACGTATGGATGTTTTTTCATAAGTTGCTATGAACTTAATGATTAAGTTGTCACACTTTAATTGACTGCTTTAGGGTATGATTAAGCAGGATCTTTAAAATCTCGAGACATTTCTTATTCCTTAATCATAAGGGTTTCACTGAATCCCTACCAACTTTAGACAAAGCAGAAAAGTATGTATGCACTTCAAATCAGAATCCAATTAGAAGCAAAATTATTAATCTATTCTAATTGTTGGGTCCCACTGTCCCATGCTGTGAGTGTTTGAATGGTCCTGAAGCAAATCCTTTTATGGATTGGAAGAAGAAAGAAAAAAAGGCTACTTCAATTCTTTTTCTTTTTATTTTGATTTGTTTAGGAAAACTAATTTTTGTGGCTTTGGGAGTGAAAGGTGATGCTGGCGTGGAAGTACAAGTTGGTTTGAAGTCGCTTCAATTTACATGTCTATCATATTTTTGTTGGTTCGAGGCATCAAAAAATGCCAACTTTCTTTGCTTATGGATAATGGATGTACATAAATTGGGCACTTTCATCGTTTCTCTTCAACACTTGACACGCATCACGTGAAGTTGGAACACTTTTGGGTCTTTTTCCTACACGTTAGAACTACACCTGTGAGTGCTTCCTCACCTAATATGCTACATTACCATTACTGGCCCCCGATACCATAACAACTCATACATTTTTGTTACACTAAAATACTATATATACCTACCTATTTCTCATCTCTCATCTTTCTTTTTATTCCTACTCAACCAAATCGATATGAATCTCATTAACCACCAAGACAGGGACCGAGACAGGATTGGGGGACCAATTACACAAAATAAACATCTTCTAATGAATATACACACATTCAATTTTATACCAAAAAAGTTATTTGTAATTATGTATTTTTTTTAAAATAATTTAAGAACCAACAATTCAAATATACATGCACAAAAGGACAAAAATAAAAATATATAGATTGAGACAAAAATAAAAAAAATTACATTACAATTAATGAAAATGAATTAAGAAAGATTCACTATTAAGGATGCAAACTTTCTTTGATACAAATCAAAATACTTTGAGGAATAATGAAAGAAAACTTTCCATGCATGCACACAAGCTAGTATTTTATACAAATGAGGTTTGAGAACTGTTACAGTACCCATGAAAATCGAAGAATAAAAATAATATTCAAAAAAAATTAAAATATATTAACAAAATATTAATATTAAACTATTTAATTATAATAGATGTTATATTAAGATAAAAATAAAAAAATATAAAAATAATATAAAAATATAGAAAATTTTATAAAGATAAATTATTAAAAATACTAAATAAAAATAAAAAATAAAAATAAGTAATTATAATAAAAAATAAAAATTAAACGACTGTTCTGGTGACCACAGTTATAATGGGTATATCGTAGAATTTTTCTTATCGATATCATCGCCTTCAAATGTGTTGAACTTCCTGGAGCTCCTCTTCAACCTTGTTGGTCATTGACCTAATCATGAGTCTTTTAACTTCAAGTTCTTTACCATCTTCTCAATTTTCAAGCACATCTGAAGGCTGCAAAGGTGGATGGATATCCATCGTCATCAATTTTTTTTCTTATAGGCTTAGATTACAAAATACAATAATGATTTTTACATGTCACCAATAACCTGCACGAATTGATCTCTGGTCATCCGTTTTGTGTTAATTTACTTCCTTTCTCAAGATGGTAGCTGTCAAAGTCATTCTCGTGATTGGCCCCTATTCCTTGATGAACTTTGCCAACACTCATAGGTTTATTTGCCATTTACATCAAGACTTTCTCAAAGGTGTGGAGTTGTGTAGGCATTCCAAAGGCTATTGTCCTTCCTCTAGTACTCTTGAATTAAATGAAATTTTATTATTCATGTCGCAATTAAAAAACGAGAGAAATGGTGACATGAAACAATATTCATGCCAATTAATTGTCTAATATTAATGAAAATTTTAAAATATATATGAAATTAATTATTCAATAAGTAGTTTGTGAATTGTTATAAGCTCTCTAGTATTGAGTTAGGTTTCTATAAATAAATAAATTATTTTGATGGAATATGAAAATAAAAGAATGATAAATTACTTTCTTTTAATTTCTTGATGATGACATTACAAAGTCGAAAGAAACATTTGTCTCATTTTTGTTGTTCGATTTGTTAGAAAATTATATATGTTGCTAGAATGGGTAGGGAAATTTTACTGCAACCTTGATGGAGATGTCCAATGTTTTATCCACAAATACTTAGACCTTTGAGGTATTTAGCTAGAAGGTGTGTATGGCTCTTTAATATCCTATCAATCTGGATAAAAATAATTTTTTATGTCAATTTTTAATTGACACAGATTTTGACGATATAAAAAATATTTTTTTTTATTTTGGTTATAAAAATAATAGATATAAAAAAGTTTTATTTTTTGAGTTAACGAATGTATTTTTTATTGCGTTCTTTTCCTTTCATTGCCTCTTTTTATATTTTGTCATCACATTACTATTTACTTTTTGTTATTGCATCTCTTCGTGTTTTACTATCCTTCTTTTTCTCTTTTATTGCATCTCTTTGTATTTTATTGTTACGTTTTTTTTTTCTCTTTGCGTTTTTCCATCATGCTCTTTCTCTCTTGCTACATTTTTCTCTCTCTTATCAGACCAACAACATCAAAAAACACCAACACACATGAAATGCATAAAAAGAGAAGAGAATGAGAACGATCTTGGGAGCACGAGAACAAACAGATGGTTGTGAAAATATGAGAACGAAAAGGAGAAGAGTAAAAGAAAGAACAAAGAGTTTAATTAGAAATCACCTCAGCAATCATTGGTGTCACCAAAAAATGTCTCAACAATATACAAATGTTTGTTGTTAAAAATCGCCTCTATCACTTGAATGAAGAAAAAAATGAAACAGTGGAGTGCAAACCTTGTTCACACTCTTAGTATAAGTAATAAGATGATATACTATAGCGGCTGATGATTTACCTATCATAGAATATTTTGATATATTTACAAGTATGCTATTGCGCTATTTGCTATATTGTGTGAATAATATCCGACACACATAAAAAGTGTGTCAAAAAATCTTATTTTTACACTAGTAAACCAATATATGTCCTCTTCTTTTGATTAGTCTCCAAACAACCTCTAAGAAAACATAAGAGTAGTTACATGTGAAGATCCTTTGACACTTAAGTGGATTAGTGATTAAAATAATAAAAAAATACTATTTAACTAATATCGATCGCTAAAGATAAAAATTTAGTCACTAATTTTAGTTTGTTTATTCAATAAATTTTAAAATATATTAAATTTTAACAATCTATTCATTAATTAAAATATTTTATTAAGTAAGTCATGTTTACAAAGGTTTATAAAATTATTTTTTTAACAATTTATTAAATAAATTTAAATTAACGTATAATATAATATTTACATTATAAGTAAATTAAATAACTATAGATATTTTATTTATCTAAATTTTGATGTGAACATCGTTGAGATAATATCTGAATATTTAATAATTAAATTATTAAAATTTAATTTATATAAATAATTTTATCAAAAGTTACTTAGTAACTTTGATCTTTGCTTTGTATATATTATCTTAATTTTTTAGTATTTTATAATTTTTTTTAAAATTTCTATAACAAGTAGAAAATATAGATTAGAAGAAAAAAAATGATAT